ATTGGGTAAACGTTTTGTCAGTATTGGATATAGCAGGTATAGTGTGGTTGACATTTTATTATACACTCCTCTTTACTTTGAAGGAAAATTTATACTTTTTCAGACTATTTAATTGTACAATATACAGTTTTAGGGATGATACTTCATTGAAATACGAAAAATTGACAGTTGAATTTCTTGTTGATATGATGTATTATTTTTAACTTTGTTTCTTATTCAGTGTGTAGAAGTACACAGATGATTCTGTTTGCATGAAATTCATTGAACAAGTATCTCTCCAGGTATTTAATACAAAGTTTTTTAAGTAATCTACAAACTGTTTGGTTTAGAAAATGCAATTTTTTTATATAATACGGTGTTATGTTTTGTTCTAATACGTGAACTTTTTATTGATGTTGAATTGCTATTACATTTGAATTTCTTTCATACATTTTATCATGTGAACAAGAAGCTAGTTGTACATTTTTATCTATTTAAATATTTAAGTTTTTTACTTAAATGAGTGCTGGATGAGGCTTAGTATTCCAGACTGTGAATCTGAGGATCTGTGATTAAAGTCCAGTTGCCACAAAATCTTTTCTCACACTTTGGGGCCATAGGCGTGTCATAAGAGCTATGGTTAAGCCCCACTATTTGATTAAAGTTGCCCAAGAACTTGTGTGAGTAATGTTGACTAGTTACTTTAATTTAGTCTATATGTTCAAAATTAGAGATGGCTAATGCTGATAGGCCTTTTATAGCTATACACAAACATCTTAAACAAACCAATAAAGTAAATGGAAAGGAAACATTTTTTTATTGCTTTAAATGACTGAATTAGGCCTAAGAAAATTAACGAATATTACATTTGACTAGATGTTTTTTTTCATTCCTCCTTATTCGGCATGGACTTGAAAACAGAGGTGCATAAAAATAATGTGAGATATATCTTGTGTTTGTCACTATGTCCTGCTGTGGTCAAGACACTAATTTTATAACCAATAACTGTTTTGGTTTGAACAAGATTAACTTGATGAATTGTCATAAATTATACTTAATTCATTACACATTATGTTATTTATTAACATCAATTTATTTATTTATTTTACTGTAATTAACATTACTCATCATCCAGAAGAGACACTTTGTTATCAGGTGACTGTTTCTTGATTACTTCCATTCTTTTTGTTACTTCTTGGTATCTTGAGTTTCTGTAAGAAACCACTTTAATGTATAGAAAACCTGTTTGAGAATGCAGGTCATTACTTCTGTTGATACAGCTCGGCATGGTCAGATGGTTAAGCCGCTCGATTCGCAATCTTCAGGTTGCGGGTTCGAATCTCCGTTACACCAAATGTGCTCGCCCTTTCAGCCTTGGGGGCATTATAATGTGATGGTCAATCCCATTATTCATTGGTAAAAGAGTAGCCCAAAGTTGTCGGTGATGACTAGCTGCCTTTCCTCTAGTCTTACGCTGCTAAATTAGGGACGGCTAGCGCAGATAGCCCTCGTATAGCTTTGCATGAAATTCCAAACAAACAAACTTCTATTGATAAAACTTTGTCTGAAAATAATCTTGCTCTACTTTTGGTATTTCAGAAGTATGCCGAGAAACTGCTTGTGAGATACAGCCAAAGATGGGTTAAAGAGTTTGTTCGAAAGAGACTGGACCTAAATATGCCTTTGCATGGGGATATAGAAGACAGAACATCACCTTGTCCTCCTCGACACTGCACCACAGCTCGTTGCCCATGTCAGTACGTTGAAGAGCATCTTCGATTCAAGCCTCGCAGCAAATGCAGCATTAAAGAGTTGTTTATTTAGGTACAAGTGGAATTTTTATGTCAAAACATTTTAAGTTAATTGTTGGGGTAGCATTAATAATAGTTTTGTTCTCGCTTTCTCTCTTTTTTTTTATACTTTGTAAATATGCAAAAACTGTTTTTATATCCAGTTTTATATTAACTTCAGAAACTTACAATTATGAATCTCTTTTTTTTTTAGTTTTACTTCGTTTAGTATTATACAAGTTATGCAATGCTACTGTATTTTTTACCATTGTAAAGAGATTGAAACTACTATTGATATCTTTGGAATTTGCATTTTTTTAGTATGTGGAAAATTAACTTTTTAATTAAATTGACTGACTAAGCTGTCAATTTTTTTCCGTAAAAACAAATATACTCGTTTTCTTCTCTACGAAATTTAAGATTATAATTTTTTAAATTAGTTTTTCATGGCTATTATTATTTTTTTTTAGCAGAGGAAGTTTGTAGAAATAATTTGGAAAGGAGCTTTCCAAATAAATTTGAAAGATCTTCTGTCAAAACTTAGGAGAGGTTCCTCAGAGATAGGATTAAGCAGCAATGCATTTTAGGTTTAGATATAAAATTCCTATTTTTTGTAACATAATAATTTAAAATGCACTAATGCTCTTTTTACGTGTTAAGAATTTCTATTTATGTGCTTTGCTTTAGAGACTGAATTACTCAAATTTGTTGTACTAAGTAATATTTTGATTTTACAGTTTTCAGGTGAGGGTTTTCTGTAAAGGGGTATCATTATAAGACTCGGTGCATTTCTTTCTTATACTATCCTTGAGCTTGGACATATGACCAACAAAATGTCTTTGTGAACACGCATAACATTATAGCCAAGAAAATATTAAATGTGATTAATAACAGTTTGAAATATTCAGTAATCAAATAGCTTCAAAAACAATATTATTAATATAATAAAAATTATAAGGCTTAGAAACCAAGGAGATTTACGAGGGATTTTTCTAGGAGAGCATTGCTAGAGTTTATGAAAAATATATGCGTGTTAGTACAATGGTACTTCTATTTTTTTGATGCATTTGTTATTTTTAGCTCGGTTAGCTTCTGCAATATTGAAAACTTAATTACAGCAATATACGTGTTTGAAAGAGCTATAAAAGTTTTTATGAAAGACAGTAGTAGTACCAGGCAGATTTTCTGTTTATAGATGTTTTTCAAATTGCATATTTTTGCTCATTGTGTACTTTATGATCAAACATGATTTAACTGTTGTAAGTTTATTCGTTTAGTACAGTGACTTCTTGGCTGCTTTTTATGTGATACACAATCTCTTTTTTTTTAACGTACTTTAACCATGTTTTTAATAAAATATTATTAGCTTAACAATAATTAAGTAAAATCTTTTCGAGAAACCGTTATAAGGACCTTGTTAAATTGTTAAGGAATAAAAAACATTAGTTAAAAAATAAATCACAAATTAGATATACTTGTTATTACGATAAATGTGTATGTGCTCTCGAAGTGAAAGATTTATGGTTATAGAAAATTTATATGTGCTAATAATTATTTTATATCAATCTTTTTTTTTGTTTTTATACAGACATTTTTCACTATTGTAAGCCATGTGCCAGCAAAGTTTGCTATAAAATTGGAACCCTAAATTTAAAAAGTACCTGTCCTTCCAAAAATACAATTTATCTACAAAAACCTTTATCGTGAGGTGAGGTGCAAAGTTGTGTCAAAATGTCTTTTTCTTTTTGATGTTTATCATAAAAACAATATGAATTTTCGGATGGTTGATTCGGTGAGTTTGTTCACCGCAAACTTGTGCAAATTACTTAAATAATGAATTAATCATTTTATATATTTAATTGTACCTGAGTTTACTTTTTGAAGAAGTGTCACCAAGCATTTTAGCAGTGAGTTTGAGGGCTTATAATGCTAAAATTCGGGATTCGATCCACGTGGCAGTTACAGCTCAGATAGCCTACCGTGTAGCATTACATTAAAACAAAACAAAATCCTTTCAAGTAGCTGTGGAGTTTTAGGATAATTCTTGAAGAAAATTGAAATGTTTATGAAATAGAAATATCTTTTTTGATATTTTGTATGAAATGTGAAGAGATCAATAAGTAGATTAGGATATTTAAAAAACTGTTTTAAGCAATGAGTATCATTGTTAACTAGTGTTGAGATTGCAATTATATGGGTTTCAATGCTTAACTTTTAATTTAGTATATTAAATGTGAACACTTAAAAAAAGTTACTAAAACTAAATGCTTTAACTTAAGCCTAACCTATGTACGATAGTGATATTTTTTACCAGTAAGATTGCGATGTTTGTACTAAACGTTAAGAGAGTAGTCCGCCATTAACGTGTAATGTTTTATATAGAATATTTCACCAAGAACTTTTAAAACAAAAAATTTGTGAGTAGGCATTTAAGTTTTTTTTTATTTGTCATGTGAAATTAGGGCACTGACTTTTACTTATTTAGGAAGATCCATTTCTATTTGATGGAGATTTTGCCCAAAGAAAATGCACAAAAGAAATAACTAATCGTGAAAGAAAGTATACTAGCTCAACTGTTTTTCATTACTTCATATGTAGATGGTAATTAATCCTGTGCAGGTGTGAAATTTGGCTTGAACATGTGAACACAAATGCTATATTTAAGAGGTTTGTTCTTTATATCTTGATGTTTTGTCAATGAAACTTGTTAGTGCAACAGTTACTGTTTTTTTTTACAGTTATGTTTCTACAATAATGACTATAAATAGTTTGATATTTGTGTTTTAGATGTCAGGGTCAACATACGATTATAGTTTGCTAATCTACAAGTTCGGGCTGTTCTTCAGAAACTTAGTTTAGAAGGATGAATCCGAATGAACACAGGAAGTTCATAAGTGAATTGTGCTAGGCATTGTAAAACTAAAACATGTAATGTTTATTAGTAATCGCATCAAATGTTTTGGTTATCCATTTGAAACTAAACTGATAACTAAGTGTACTGGCTGGGTGGTCCAAACTGTGAATTCGAGGGTCTATAGTTTGCATCACACTCTGTGGCCATGCAAGTGATATAAGAGTAACAGTCAAATCTCACTATTCTATTAGAGTAGACTTATAGTTGGTGGTGGATGCTGTAGACCAGCTGTCTTCACTCATTCAAAATTAAGGATGGTTACGCACATGTGAAGCTTTTTGCAAGTATCTAAAGTAGAGTTTAACGAGTTAAAGACAAAAAGGAAATAAAAACATGAGCAATTTTGAATAGTAGACTATTCTAGAAAGTTATATCTATGAGGTGTGGAAACTATGATTGGTTCAACTTCATGTAGGCTAGGTTTGACTTTTAAGGTTATAGCTGGTTTATAAGTGGTTAAGTTTTTAGTACTAGTAACATCTATATATTGTTTAGTTTTGTGTTTTATTTTGAGTTTGCTATGTATGAATGCACATCTGAGTATTTGTTTCTTTTTGTGTCGTGAATTTTATAAACAAGAGAAACTAAAATATCCAGGAAGTTTACACGTCCTTCAAATTTTGTGAGGGCAACAGCACCTTGGCTAAGCCTTTTTTTGTCTACCCCTTGCTACAGACCAGAGAATGTCTTGTTTGATAAGCTATGATGTTTCTTATACCCTTTAATTTAGAATCACTTTGTACAGTTGCACAGATCTTCCACTGGTGGCCGAGTGGTTATCTTGGCCGATTCAAAACACGATGCTGTTGAAAACACACTGCATTTTCAACCATGGGTTTTGTGAGGGCAACAGCACCTTGGCTAAGCCTTTTTTTGTCTACCCCTTGCTACAGACCAGAGAATGTCTTGTTTGATAAGCTATGATGTTTCTTATACCCTTTAATTTAGAATCACTTTGTACAGATCTTCCACTGGTGGCCGAGTGGTTATCTTGGCTGATTCAAAACACACTGCATTTTCAACCATGGGTGCATAATAAAAGTGACAATCAATTTTGTTACTCTGTTTACAAAGCCCATGTGGTAGTGGGTGTTACCGGCCGTAGTTCAAAATTAGAGATAGCTACACCTGAAACCTCAGTATAAGGTCCTGTTCGAGTTAAAAATTTCAATTCTAATTTCTTTAACAAGAGGTAACTCGTTTTATTGTAGAACTTTTTTTCCCCTCTGATTTCTGGCATGGAAAGTGCTTTAAATGGATGAGATGTATTGAAAAAATATTCTCTTTGGTAGTAGTTGATGTCATGCAAAGTGTACCAAAGTTGAAATGATGAACTCATCCTTTGTTTGCTTAAAAGAAACCCATATTGAAGCAGGTTAGAAATGTGTCTTGGCTAACTGTAACGTTTCATGACGTCACACAGTATATTAATATTTGTATCCTTAATTTTAACTTTAAAATATTGAAGTATTGTACTGATATATTCTATAAGTAAAGCCGTGTTGTTATAACTTATTAATTAATTTACTTCAGATTTTATTTGTAGCAGGTGATTTACAAAAGAATGTTTTGGTATTAACTGGAAAGTTTGTTCCGTTTTATTCCGTCCATACTTTGTGCCTTCTAATTGGTGGCTTTTTTTTTATTTATTGCAAGTTTGTTGATGTTATATTATAACCTATTGATCATACTGCAAGTAGTGACCCAAAACTAGCAAGTTTTAAGGCAACTTCAGCAGCGTGTTTAAAAAGGGAAATGGTCACTTAAAGTGAAATTCTACTTAATAGTGTGAGGTATTAATGATCAAGGTCTAATTGATGGATTAGAATTTTATTTTCATAATTTGCTGTTGAACTTTGTCTGATATTACAGGTAATTCTTTTGTAAACCTTTTGAACGAGTACGCTTGTACAGGATTTCACTGTATAAAATGTACCAGTGCTGTTATTTGATTAGAGACAACTACGAAAAATGTAAAGGTTCGAAGTTGTCCTGTGAAAACAATAATCACGTCAACTTAGATGTACTTACAGGGTAACTAGTTTTGATTATTTGTTACTCAAGTCCGTGGATAAAGTTTCATTACGAGTACGAATAATTCAGATAATGAAAGTCAAACA